TTTTTTCTTTTGCGCGTCGGGTAACGAAAGGAAAAGAAAAGTAAATAATAATTTTTTTTTATTTTTATTTAAAATAAACTCTCGTTCGTACTCTTAACGTTTTATTACTTTTTCGCACTCGCGTTTGCACCCGCACGCACACACACTCATTATCATCATCCACACCTTTTTTTTTTACCTTTGTCAAACCTTTTCTAACCTTTCGAGAAAATAAAAATAAAAAAAATCGAGTGAGAAAAAACGGGATTTTTTTTTAATATAAAAATTATAGCGTCGGTGTAAATGATAGGTAAATAAAATAAATACGAATAAAATATTCAAAGGAAAAAAGGAAAATTTTTTTTTAAACGAGAGCGAAAGGGAAAAAGTGATGGGGGGAGGAAAATAATTAAGTTTGCATACGTGTGCGCATATATACGCATACATAAAAAAATTTTTTTTTTCCTGTTATCCTTTTCCCCACTTTCTCCCACTCCTACTTCTTCCTACTTCCTCTCTCTCTCACTTTCCCCCCGTCGATTTCTCCCTACCTTTCGCCCCTTCACTCTTTCTCTCTCTCTCACGTCATTTTCTTTCCCTTCCTTCCTCATCATTCATTATCTTATCATTTTTATTTCCTTTTTTTTTCTTTCTTCTTCTTATTCCTTTTTCCTTCGTAACATTTCTTCAACACCATTTCCTCCATTTAATTTTTTTTTTCCCTTTTTTTTGTACTTTCGAAACAATTTCTTCTTCTTCTTCTTCCTCCTTCACCTCGAGATTCTTTATATATATATATATATTTTTTTTTTCCATCTAATTTCTTTTTTATTACTTTATTTTATTATCTTCTGCTACTACTCTTATTTTAAATTTTAAAATAAAAAATTACGTAATAAAAAAAAACTTTTTTTCCTTTTTTCCTTTTTTTTCTTTTCTCTTTAATTTCTTTTTTTTTATTAAAAATGTCGGATAACGAAAAAAAAACTTTTTTTTAAAAGGTGCCTTTTCACGAATTCTTTTATACACACAAAAAACCGGAAGTGCGTTTCAACATCCTCAAATTAATTTTTTTTTTGACGTCACACGCATTTCCCAAACCGGAACCTTTCTCTTTTCGGAAATGAATTCAATTCGCGCGCGCGTGTGTGTGTGTGCGTGTTTGAACATTCCTAAAAAATAAAATTCTACAGAAATGATGATAATGATGATGATAATAATAATAATAATAATAATAATAATAATAATAAAATATTTTCAGTTGGAATTATATTATTGAAAAAAAAAAAAACGAATTTCGTTGTTGTTGTTGTTGTTCCTTCCACGTTTTTCATCACATATTGGAAAAAAAATATATATCGTGAGAATTTATTAATAATAATAATAATAATAATAATAATCGATAAAAAATAAAAAAATGTCTTCTGCTTTTATTTAAATATTTTTTTCACTTTCACACACACACGGATAAATATTAAAAAATTTTACGGTGGAAGCGAGAGTGGGGGGAAAGATAAAAAAGGAAAAAGTAAAATTCGATGAAAAAATTTTGTCGATACGTTTCTGACGCCACTTGAATGATGACGTCATAATATTAAAAAAAAATTCACGTAAGTAAATTATTATTATTAACATTATTTTTTAAATTAGAGATTTAATTTTTTTTTTTTGGATTTAATCCCGTGGGACGAACGAGAAGTGGAATTAAATAAAATATTATTTAATTATCATTATTATTATCGTCGTCGTAGTCGTCGTCGTGGCTCCAACTATTTTTTTTTTTTTACGTATCCAAAGAAAGTGTAATTTTTTTTTTTAAAACAATGAAATAAAAAAATATATAAAAATGATTAATTACGTCAAGACAAAGATGATGGCATTCATAATTTGTCCTTTGAGAAAGAAAGAAAGAAATAAAGAAAGAAAATTTTTTTTCTCCCAAAAGGAAAAAAATTTTCCTTTTTATTTTTTGTTACTTTTTTCTTTCTTTTGCCACGAGTAGATAAAAAAAAATTAATTTTAAATGACTTAATTACCTTTTTCTTCTTCATCATCGTCATCATTATTCTTTTTTAAAAAGTTCAATTAACACTTAATTAATATCAATCGTAATTTAAAATAATAATAATAATAATAATAATAATATTAATCAAATTTATTATTAAGTTCAGATTAATTAATACCAGTCATTTTTTTTTAAAAAAAAAGGGAAAAGTCTAGAAAAAATTTTAGAAAAAAAAATAATAAAAATTTCGAACGAAAGTAATAAGAAGAAGAAGAAGACATTTCAAGGGAGTAATAATAAAATCAAAAGAGAAAATAAAAAAATCGAGATTTTAAAAGAAGAAGAAGAAGAAGGAGGAGGAGGAGGAGAAGGGAGGAAAAAAAGATGGCGGATAGTTGTGAAAGGATAAGGTAGAATAAAAAAAAAGGAAAAGTTAAGAAAAACGTGAATAAAAAAAAAGCGGAGGGATGGGAGGAAAGGGGATTTTGTTTGGGTCGTTGTTATGACGTAATGAAAATGAAAAAAAAAAACCTTTTTCAACCTTTAATCCGAAAGGATCATTTTCCTCTCATCTTGACGAGAGAGAGAGAGAGAGAAAGAGAGAAACTCGGACAAAATAAAAATTAATATTATTTGTTTTAAGTGTGATCATTTTTTTTTTTTTTTATGTATTTTATTTTCCAATTAAAATTTTTTTTTTTTAACCGAGGGGAGAGAGAGGAGGAGGGGGAGGAAAAGGGTTGGAAGGACAAAAGTGGAAAAGGATTATAAAAAAAAAAGGCTCGAATCGTTGAAAAGTGTGCGTTTGAAATGTGAAATTAACAAAAAAAAAATTTTAAATTAATTAACAAAACTCTTTTACCCCCCTCCCCTTCTCCCCACTCCTTTTACTATTACTCCCCTTATTTTAACGTGACTTAAAACCTTCCTCCTCCTCCACCCCGGAATAACAGCGTTTTTTTTTTCAACGTGGCAAAAGAAAAACGACGTGAAAAACTATTAAAATTATTATACGTCGGTGAAAATAGATTTAAAAAAAAAAAAACGAGCAGACGACGGTGATAATAAATTTTTAACCGTTTCTTTTTTTAAAAATTATTATTATTATTATTATCATTATTATTATTATTGTTGTTGATATCGTTGAAATTTGCATTAACAAACAATTTTGTGCGTACAACCGAAAACATAAAATCATTCGTTTAAATTTATGTCTGCGTAAATTATTCTCTTCTTTGTTATTTTTCTCTCTCTCTCTTTCACTCTCCCTTTTTTTTTTACATGACGTCACAAAAAAATAACCGTTGGAAAGATAAAAAAAAAAAATGGCCGCCGAATTTTTCATTCGTTTGAGTTTTGAACTCGTCATCATCTTAAAAAACGATATCTGGAATATTTTTTTCTTTAACGTATTCATCAATCGATAATTTTTGTAATCCTTTTTAATAATCCTCCGCCATTTTTTTTTTTTATCTTCGGAAAATTCGTTAAAAATTCTCATTAAAACCTACAAATTATAAAACGACATCACAGAGTTTCTTTTTAAGCATATCTGGTTAAATTCTACCGTTGGTTGAATAATTTGTTATTTAGCTCGAAGGATATTTTGAAAAAGGGGGATTCGTTTTGACTTTTCTGATTAAATCCCACCCCCACCCCCACCCCATTTACCGATTATTTTAAGGTGATTTTAATTCTTTTTTAATTATCCGGATTACGTATATATAAATAAAATTTTCGTGGCGAAAATACGACAGAATTAATTTCAAATCATAAATTCCACGATATTCGATTAATTTCTATTTTATTCAATGTTTAAATTTCGTTATGACGTCATATTTCCACCCATAAACAAAACTACATTCGGCGGTATACGGAAAAAAAATAATGATGACCTTGAGGGAAAAAAATTTTTTTAAAAAATAAAAACGTAAAAAGAATCATTTCCCCATTTGATTAATGATAATCTCAAACGTCATTTTATATTACTTTATATATTTCTCACCCGTTTTCTTTTCTTCAAACGGAAATCGTCGTCGTCGTTATTTTTGTCGCCGGTGTCGCTGTCGTCGTAGTCGTTGTCGCTATCGACGTCATAGTTTTTGTTGTCGTCATCATTGTCTCTGTCGCTGTTGCTTTATTTTAATTTATTATTTAAAATTCTCGTGTTAAACTCGTTAAATAAACTGACTACGTAAAATCAAACTTTAATTATGTTTAATTTAAAAGTGAAACCTTCTAACGGAAAATAAAAAAAAGCAGACGACGACGCTTTTACGTATATTTATTATTATTATAATTTTTCCCACGTTCGAAAATGACATTTTTAAACGTTTTTCCCCCTCATCCCTTTTTTTTTTTGGAAGGAATTTATGCAGATTCATTCGTTAACCTGTTTTAATGCTCCAAGCTTTTTACTAGGTCACCGGAAAAGGTCATTCCGACATCTTGATTTAAATTTGATAATATTATCCGACCCAATATTTAAAATTATCCAGGTCCGTGATTTGGACAATATGGTTTTCTCCCAAAAAATTACAACAATAAAAAAAGTTTTTTCCGGGAAAAACGATGACGTCATTAATTTAAGGGTAAAATATTTTATTCTAAAAATTTATTATTTATTGTATATTCTAAGGGGCGAAAATTTTCTTTCTGGAGAAAATTTTATTCAGAAGGTTTCGAATCGATCATGGAGAATATTTTATTATTATTATTATTATTATTATTACTATACTCTGACGTGTGTTTAACGAAAATGTTTTTTTATTAAATCGATATTAATTGTTTAAAATAAAGTTAAGCGATTAATTTTTCAAAAAAAATTTTCTTTCTTTTTTTGGAGAAATTTTTTTTTTTTTTATTTATTCCTGGAGCCATTATTTTCCGATCGATTTTTTAAAACTTTTAGGTAATAAAAAAGAAAGAAAGAAAGAAAAACGAGGATGATTTAAAACCTAATAAAATGAAATAAAAGAAAATGCGGTTGGGGAAAACTTTTGTTTGTTTGTTTTACTTACCGTCAGGTACGGCGCTTGAAGCCATTAAAAAATTAACGCAAGCGGCTCCCGTTCCGTGACCTAAAACTGTTACATTTGTCGGATCCCCACCGAAAACTCCTATATTTTCTTGTATCCAGTGTAATGCCGCTATTTGGTCCATCAATCCGTAATTTGCTGGAGATCTTAAATATGAATCCGTGTTTGAATTTAAAAAACCTGGAACGAACAAAAAAAAAAGAAACGTTAAAAAAAAAACACACGTAAGGATTAAATTTAAAGGGTTTCCTCTTGTATCTCTTTCCCCCTTCCCATTAACCCCCCCTTCGCACACGACTCCCTCTCCCATCCATTCGAATAAAGGAAAACAAAAGGAAAATTTTTTTTTCTCTTAACTGGAGAAATGAAGTTGAACGTTTTCGAAAAAAAAAAAAAAAATTAAACTTTGGTACAATTGGCGGCGTTACCGTGTTTTTCCAGTCTTAACCTTCTTTTTCCGTTTCCTCTTTTTCCCTCACCCTCCTCTCCTCTCCCCTTCCTCCCGTCTCTCTTTAATTCTCATTCGAAATCGCTTTTTACCTTTTTTTACAGTAACAAACGAAAAACGTTTTTTTTTTTCTTTTTAAAGTCAAAAATTAACAACAACCGGTTGTTGTTGTTATTGTTGTTGTTGTGAATGCTGTTGTTGTTATTGTCATTTTTGTTTTTGTTGCTGTTGTTGTTATTGTCATTTTTGTTTTTGTTGCTGTTGTTGTTATTTTTGTTTTGGTTGTTGTTATTTTTTTTGTTGTTGTTTTTGTTATTGTTGTTGTTGCTGATGTTTTCCTTTCTTTTTTTTTTATCAACAGAAATATTTCAGGAGCGGATTTAGAAAATTAAAATTAAGAAAATTCGTTTTTTTTAAGAGAAGAGTCAGATAAAGAAGGTAAGGAGGTGGTACGAAATTTGGGAGGGCGGGCGGTTGGGTGGGGGGCAAAATGAAGGTATGTAAATTTTTTTTTAGGAAAAGGAAGAAACCTTTTTGAGATACAAAGTCTCGAATAAAATTTTTTTTAATTTTTTTTAAATCAATAAAATCTTTTTGTTGTTGTTGTATAGAATAAAATGAGGAAAATGATGAGTGTGTGTGTTTGCGTTTGTTGGATTGTATGAAAACATTGTTAAATCGTCGGATTTAGTTCTTAAACACTCGTTTCCTTTTTACTCCCTTTCTCTCCCCCTCTTTTTCTCTTTCTTCGTCCGAAATGTTTTTTTTCTACTTCGAAAGGTTTTTTTTTTTTTTTTTTAAAAGAAAATAATAATAATAATAATAATAATCCGAAAATAATAATTTTTTTTCTTTCTTTTTTTCTCTTCCATTGTTTGTCTGTTTGTTTGTTACTTTGTTGTTTGTTTCATTGTATCGTAAATATCAATTTTTTTATAAAAAAAAAAATTTTATTTTATTTTTATTAAGTTTTCTCAAGTTTTTTTTTTTTTTTTTATTATTTATTACATTTTACGTATTTTTTTTTCTTTTTCTTTTTCTTTTATTTGAAAAGGTTGGACACGTTCCCGCAGATACGAACGTATTTTTTATCTAGAAAGAGAACAAACAACAAACAAACGCGTAAAAAAAAGAAAAAAAATTTTATCATTTTATTTTTTAATTAAAAAATTTTTTAAAATTCGATTAAATTAATTTAATTGTAAAAGTTTTTTTTTTTTCAATCAGAAAAAATTAAGAAAAAAAGGAAAACAAGGACAAAAAAGGAAAAAAGGAAAAAAGGAAAGAAAAAAAATGGAAATTTAAAAAAAAAAGAAAACATTGTTAAATTTGGATTAAAATCTGACGTTTTTGTTTTTTTTTTTTTTTTTTTTTTTTTTTTTTTTTGGGGGTAAAAGCATAAAAATCTTTTCATTTTTTTTCTTCCACTCTCCCCCCTCACTCCCCACTTCTCCTTCCCTTCTCCTTCTCAAGTCCTTCCCCCTAGTTTCCTTGACATATTTTTTTTTCCCCTTTTTGACTTTTCCTCCAGATATTTTGAGGATAAAACAAACAAAAAAAATATGATTCGCATCGTAACAAAAAAAAACAAAACATTAAAATAAATTTAAAAAAAAAACGTGGCATTAGAAAAAAAAAATTGCCATTTATTTATTTTTCTTTTAAAATCGTTCATGTATTATTATTATTATTATTATCATTAAACAATCGATTTCGAGAAAAAATGTAATGAAAATAATAAAAAATTTCCATGGAAAAAAATCCATGGAAAAAAATTTCATACGTAATAAACGGAGGGAGAGAGAGAGAGAGAGAGAAAGTGAAGAAACATCTGGAGAAGAAAATCCGAGAAGCCTTTTGAAATTGATAACGCGAGATTTTTATTCCAAAGATCAAAAAGCTGTTGAGATGATGACGAAAAGAAAAATGAGAGGAGAAAAATTTTTTTTTACTTTTTTTTTACTGGAAAATTCTCCAGTTTTCCAGTTTTGATTTATGGAAATTATTAAATTAACTTATATACGTTCAAAAAAAAAAAAAACTAATAATGAATAATTTAAATTTTCAACGAATACGTATTAATAAGGGAAAGAGAGAAAGGTGGAAAGGGGGGGGGAAAGCAAGAAGGGAAATTTCAACGATTTAAAAATGATGACGTAACATTTTATCATCATTATTATTTTTTTTTCCTGGAATGTAATTTTTTTTTTTTTTTATTAACAGGTCACTCAAATTTTTTTAAACGATTTATTCTATTCGCACACGTGTTTCTTCTCTTCCCCCTTCCCCCGTTCCCCTCTCCTTAAAACCTTTTTCCTCGGAGGGATCGTATACTTTTTTAATAATAATAATAATAATAATAAAGGAAAAGTTTTTTTTTTATTTACAGGAAATGATTAATATTTAAATTCGTATTTTATATTATCTATATAAATATTTTCATTTTCGATAAGAACTTTTAAAATTAAATGCAATGAATCAATTTTATTTAAAAAACTTACTAATAATAATAATAATAATAATAATAATAATAATAATATAGGAAAAAGTTTTTTGTTTGTGTGTGTGTGAAAACTTTTGATTCTTCTGACACGTGATTCCATAATTCAAATAATGATATATAAACGTTCGCATTCACTCGGATTTATTTTTTAAAAATTTTCTCGAATTTTTTTTTTGGGGGGAGGGAGGGGGAGTTCTAGAAATTACGACCATTAAAAAATTTAATTTTTAAAAAAAAAAGTAAATTCAAGTTGGTAAACCTGACTCAGATAAATTATTAACCGGAAATTAATTATAAATTCTCCGATTAAAAAAAAAAAAAATTAAATAAATGTACAATTTTTTTTTTTTTTTTTCAACTTACTTCCGTTTCGAATAAGCAAATTAAATTAAATTTAAAAAATAAATAAAATTCTTAAACCACGATGTCGGATGCCATTTTTTTTTTTTTATTAAAAATTTTTAAAAAGAGGAGAAAGAAACTTTAGGAAAATTGAAAAAAAAAAAAGGAAAAATTTTACACTCGAAATTTTAATCTCTTTTTTTTTTTTTCTTTTTTTTTATATTTTTTTCTCTCTCTTATTCTTTTTCCTTTTTTATTTTCCTTTGTGAATCATCTTTACTATACACGGTTGTTTCCATTTTATTTTTTTAAAAAAAGGAAACAAGCAACAAAGGAAACGTTTTGAATAAGTCGTCATCATGAAATTATGTCAACATACATTTACAAATGTGTCTACATAAACACACACTCGAACGCTTTTTAAGTCGACATTATTATTATTATAATGAATAAAAAATAATAATAAAATAAAATTTATAATTAAATATTTAAAATAAATTAATAAATAAAAAGTTTTTTTTTATTTTGTTACAAAAAAAAAAAATGAAATAAATAGAAACAAACGAGAAACAAACAAGAACAAACTTTTTTTAAATTAAAAATATAATTGGATAATTTTATTTTCTTGTTGGATCGTCGTGTCGTTGCAAGTCGGGGGGAAGGGGGGGGAGGAAAACGAGATGAGGAGTATTAAAAAAAGTAGAAGAATGGGGTGGAAAAGCGTCGAACGAAAAGTTAAACATTAAATGAGTATGAGGGGAAAAGTGGGTGGAGTCTACTACGTTGTGAAAATGAGAAGGAGGAATATGCAAAGTGGAATGAGTTAATGATGAAGAGTTGACGTAAGAAAATTTAAAGTGGCGGTCGGGGAAAAAAGGGGAGGAGCGAAAAGGTGTGAGGTGATGGTGTGAGAGATAAATAACTGAGGGGGAAATGTTAGAAAGAATGTAAGGGGAAAGAGATATGAAAAACTCACGGGAGTGTGAGTTGAGGTTGAAAAATGGGAGTAGCAAACGAAGCGAATGATAGTGGGGATGGATGAAGTAGGGGAGGGGAGGGGAAATAAAGCATAGGTCGAACGAAAAAAACAAACCTGGTTGTAAGTTTATTATTATTCCGTTTAAAAAAAATTTTCTTTTTTTTTTTTTTTTAATAAACAAAAGCAGTTAATCATCCGAAGAACTTTTTTTTTTTTAACTTTTTTTCCGCGGAAAGTAATAAATAATTTTTAACGGGATACGTATAAAAAAAAAAAACAAACAAAACAAAATATTATAACAAAAACAAACAAACAAACAAACAAACAAACAAACAACAAACGAATACGTGTACGTACGTGGATATATATATGTAAATTCAATTACGAAACTAATTTTAAAAAAACAAAATTATAATAATAATAATAATGTAATTTTTACACTCGAAAAATGTACGATGATGATAATAATAATAATAATAGGAGAAGACGTGGTTTGTTTTTTTTTCCATCCCCATTATCATCATCATCATTATTATTATTATTTTAATATTTTTACGGGGGTACGCGTTTTGAAAATATGCGCCTTAAAACTTTTAAAAAAATATATATTACGTTATTATTATTATTATTATTTTTTTTTTTAATTTAAAAACAGCCATTTTTTAAACTTTTTTTTTTTCGAAGTAAATTTGTTTTTTTTTTTGGGGGAGGGGGAGGGAAAGGAAGGGTTTTAAAATTTATTATGAAAGTCTTTAAAGTTTGTTTTTTTTTTAGAGAAAAAAAAAAAGTTTCGACTCGTGTTTTTTGGGTTTGTTTACATATGAACAACAACAACAACAGCAACAAACAACAAACAACAACAAGAGGAAATATATTAAAATGAAGAAGAAGAGGAAATAAAAAAAAAA